CCCCCCACACCCCCGCCCCGGGACACCTGGACTCGGCCTTGTCCCTGACCCATGTTTTTTTCCCAGATTTTTTCTAAGATTTCTCTGACTTCAAACACTTTTATACTAAAGCACTAGCGTTGAATTCTGCCAGAGACCCAGGTGTCCATTTGGGCACCTGCTTTGGTTCTTGAGCATCCCTGCTGGAGTCTGAGTAAGGGAGTGGTGGCTGCCATTTCTCGTCACTGCAGTTTGATTCTCCTTCTTTGGAAAACACCTGATTTTTTTTTTCACTTGCAAGACAGTTGGGATGTGTTTTTAATCTGATTTTCTTCCTGAAGCTGTGGACCTAGACTTTTGTTTTAAAGGACTTTTTCTTTGGGGCGGGGAGGCCGATCTTCCTGTGCTTTTGTGGGGACTGCGAGGTTCTCTCTGTTCCTGAGCGCTGGGAGCGGGGAGTGGCGTGCTGGGGAAAGCTCAGACACTGCCCTGGAGAAGTGTATTAAAGTCATCACCAGCTTGAAAAGCCACCAGGAAAAACAAACATGGCCCTATTAGCCGGGATAGAATGTGAGCTGTGCTCCGCAGCACAAGAAAGAACCCCCTGTCCTTCTCAGGGGGAGCGAGCTCAGCATTGTGACTTGTGTAAACAGAGAGCGTGGCCTTCAGATGCAGGCTCGCTCCCTGCCAAGTGCGGCTCTGGTGCCAGGGTCAGCGCTGTCGCCCAGAGACGGGCGTGGACGAGGAGACGGTGCCGGCTCCTGCCCCGCCAGGGCAGCAGGCCTGCAGGACGCCTTTGTGTGTCCCCTCAGGGCCCTGACACAAGCTGGAGGAGCTGTCTTGGCTGAGAGTCCTTTTGAGACTTGTGGGTCTGTTTCTGGCAGGGAGAGGAGAGGGCAGTACCTTGCTTGTCTTCTTTCCCTCCCTCCCTTTCCTGCCTCCTCCCCATTCTGCACACACAGCGCCTCCCTTGTAGCAGTTGTGCCGGGAAAGGTGTGCCAGTGGGCACGTGCTGTAAGGCCCGTTCTCGGACCAGACTCCCAGGCCTGTCACTGCTTCCGTCCCAGCCTACTCTTTGCCTGGCAAAAGCCAGCTGGGACCTGACCTCCCAGACACCTCGCTGTATACCCTGGGGCCTGAGGTGGGGCTCGTGAGGTGGAGTGCAGAAGGGGAGGCCCTGGTGGTTCCGGATTCCAGGTTTGGGTTTGAAGTTGCTACACGGCCAGTGGAACTTTGTTTCTAAAATACCGTCAAGAGCACGCCTCCCTGCAGGGGTCCCGCCCACGGTTTCAGCAGCGCTCCGCTCTGTGAACTGAGAGTTCGGGGAAGCTGCTTTGCTGATGCTATTGCAGCTGCTGTGTGGACGTGGAGCCACGGAGCCTGAAGCCAGGGTGTGGCAGGCTCAGGGCTTCCTGTCACAGGCCAGACTGGTTCTCTGCTGATCCAGTGACCTTGTTACACGGCAGCTCCATGGTTACCCTGCAGCTGCCAGTGCTCTGAATAAGAAAGCAAATATCAAATGTCCATGACCCTGTCTCTCCCTCTCCAGGTGTTTAGGACAGACCTGATCACCGCCATGAAGCTACATGACTCCTACCAGCTGAACCCCGATGAGTACTACGTGTTGGCAGATCCCTGGAGACAGGAGTGGGAGAAGGGGGTGCAGGTGCCAGTCAGCCCTGGGACCATCCCTCAGCCTGTGGCCAGGTAGACATGCCCCGAAGAGAACAGCTCTGCCTCCCCCGTGGGGCCTGTCTGCCCCTCAGCCAGGTGCCGAGAAGGGCAGTGTGTCCTCAGCACTGAGGTCCCCGTGGGCGTAGGAACACGTCAGGTCCGCAGGGCAGTGACTTGGAGGACTGGCTGGGGGTTTGGATGTTTGCACCCCCTGCTGTCCCTATTCCTGCACTTGCATCCCCGCCCTTGGTTACATTCACGCTGCAAAGCAGCTCTGCTGGGCCCGGGGAACGGTGGCTTCCTGGTCCCGTGGCGGCCACTCCCCTTTGGAGGAGGACAGGTGGGGTAGCCAGGTCAGGTCTGCGGAGGGGAGTTTGGGGAGATGAATGGATTAGGTGGGCTCTCCTGTGGATTGACTTTGCCCAGTTCTTCTTGTGGGGCTTCGTCTCGATTGACTTACAAACCACTTTCCCCCTGAGGGTCGGGTCCTCAGTGACTCAGCTTAGCCAGAAGCTGCAGCCGGTTTGCTCTTGTCCTCCCGTCCAGCTCCCCCGACCCTGGGCTGCTGGCTGGGAGAGAGAAGGGAGTGCCTTGTGCTCAGCTGGCGCCGGGCTTCTCTGCTGTTGCATCCTCACCATCCCCGAGTGTGGGCAGAGCCCGCCTAACCCTAACCCTCGCCCACTCTGTGTCTCTCCAGGCTCTGGAGATGATCGAGTTTGATCATTGCTCTTCGGGATCTCTGCGACAAATGTCCCCCTAGATCCGCAGGTTTAGATGCTGGGTGGGTCTGGTTGCAGGAAAGGGATTAGATGATGGGTGGGGCGGCCTCCATAGGCTGGACTCCTGGCCTGTGGGCGGGCCCGTCACTGGGCTCTCAGGATGAGCAATGTGTTTGCCTCAGAGTGCACGCCTGGGCCACGACACCAGCCCCGCAATCCCAAGCTGGGAGTTTTTCACCAATTTGTTCACTGTATTTGGGAGCCCATAACACAGCCTATGGACATTTTCAGCTGAACCAAAGCCTGCTCTTGGTTGAGGAGGAGAAATAACTGTCCAGTGAGCCCATCTCAGTGTCCTGTAGATAAAATCACTTTTGTAATGATAACGGTGATGACGAAACCTTGGCACCTTCAAAGTTTTGGACAACTTGATGTTCACGCAAACTGCTAAATAGCGATGTGGAGGGCTGTGTGGACTCCCAGTCGGTGTGGTCTCATAGTCTCACGTGCCATCACAGCCTTCGAGGGGGGCGTGGTGGATGAGGCTGCTTCAGGTGTTAGGTGGGGGCAGAGGGTAGGGTAAGGAGGAGAGGGAGCGCGGGTCTTTGCCCTGGGTTGTTGGGAGAGGCCCCGGCTGGGCTCACTCTGGTTCTTGGGCCACTGAGTAATGGCTGAGGCCTGGTTTATTTTTAAGGACAGACAGAGGGCGTTTCTCCCCGTGGTTCCCCAGCATCAGCTGTGGCTGCTCTTGTTCCTCGATGTTCTTGAGAACCCAGTGCTTGGCATCCAGCAGGCTGGGTGGTTCTGGTTGGAGGAAAGGGCTCGAGTGGGCAACGCTGGGCACCTAAGTGGCCACAGCACCTGCTGCTGTGGGGGTGGGGTGGGGTGGGGACAGGTGTCGGGGAAGCCGAGGGGAAGGAGCTGGTTTTGAAGACTTCTGCAGGGTTTGCACTTGGTTGTCTTTCCCTTTGGGTGTGTTAAGGACTCCTTAGTGTTATTAGCAGTGACGGCAGGACTGTAAGCCTGTTAGTCTGGCGATGACCTGGGTTTTGGGTGGCGGTGGAGACTCCGCTGGGGCCTTGCACAGCCTGGCTGGTCTGTGGCAGAAAGGATGACCCGGCTGCCTCGTGTTTGCTGTTAACTAGGGTCGTGTCGGAAGAGAAGTCACTCATGTTCATCAGGCCCAAGAAATACATCGTCTCTTCAGGCTCCGAGCCCCCGGAGCTGGGCTACGTGGACATCCGTGCGCTGGCCGATGGCGTGTGTCGGTACGACCTCAATGACATGGACGCAGCATGGCTGGAGCTGACCAACGAGGAGTTCAAGGAGATGGGTGAGGCCCGTGCTATTGTTTGTAACCAGCGCTGTCCGTTGAGATGGACTCAGGGACCGGGCCAGTGAGGGGCCTTCCCACTGGCCGTGGAGGCAGGGTTCCCGCCCTGCCCTGATCGTATGTATCTCACTAGCATGGAAGCCAGAGAAACTTAGTTGTGGTGCAGTTCAGATCGCTGCCCCCGCCGCTGAGTCCACTCCAGCCCGGCTCCCTTCCAGACCCCACAGCGATGCCTCCTCACCAGGTCCTGCCCCTAAGCTGGAGTTCCTGCCTCCTCTTTCCCCAGCGATCTGTCCTCTCCGGAGCCCTGCCCCTCCCTGGTGCCCAGCCCTGCTCAGCCGTCTCTTTTCCCTGGGTTTGCTCGTTTTCTGCATGAGGCGGGTGGAGCTTCTGTGCCACACTCACTGCATCTCCAGGGTGGAGACCGGGTGGCATGCGGGTTTCCCTCCGCACTTCTGATTGCTGAGGGCTCTCGAGGTGACCTGATGAGCATTTTGCACTGAGCTCCGACTAGACTTCACAGTCTTCTCAGAGCTCTCTTGGAGGTGAATGCTGCCTCAGCTTCATCCACCTACGGCCTGCTTTATAGCAGTTTTGTAGAGACCAGGTGCGCTTGACTGACCAGTGGCCTGTGTTAGGCACAGGGTACAGCCAGAGCCACTGGTGCCTTTGAAGTGGTTTAGTGATGAGTCCTGGGCTGACTTCTCAGTCGGAAGGAAGTGCCCGGTACGTAGGCAGCTGTGTAACATAAACTGGACACGTGTTTTATTGGTCTTTTTAATGGTAAGAATTAATTACAGGGCACAGGGTTGTGTTTTCAAGACCAGTGGTGTTTTTAGAACTACAGACTAGGAGCACCTGGCCACGCAGAGGCTGTCTCAGAGTTAACCAGGGTTTGCGATGGCTGGTGCTGCTTTTTTGAATAAGTGTTTAGGGCTTATCACACTGTCAGCTCTATTGTGGCGGTTCTCAGATTTTTTTAAAAACCCAAGGAGTGTTAATTTGATGGTTTTAAACTTGCGATAGTGCACAGAAGTCGTTGTTGGCTCTAGTGACATTTCTGTTGTTTCTTGCCACTTTGGTGTTCTGTCTGGATAGTATTGCAGCCTATTTTTTTCTGTCTGCATGAGTATCTTCATTGTAGGGAGTTTGGACTATATCCACACATGGAAGGAAATAGAAGTCTCATCCCACCGCTGGCTATAACCACGAGAACCACTGGAGATGTATTTTTGATCCTTCTTGCCTCAGAATGCAGTTTATTTGATTCACAATGAGCTGTCTCCTAGGCTTCCCACAGTCCTTGTGTTTTGGCCTCTCATGTGTCTGATGAACTGTGCCTCTCAGTGTAGTCAGTTCAGAGGGTGAAGAGGAATGAACCGGGTAAAAGCATGCAGTGCTCACGGGGGAATCTTGTCAGGGCACCGACACCAGTAGTAAGTAAGGAAAGCTTTCAAACAAACACTCAAACCACAGCCCGGGGTCAGCTCACTCCCATGACCGTTTATGTATAACACTGTAATGAAATGGCAATTGAACGACAGTGCAGTTAACATCCTCGGTTCCTTTTGGGGTTTATCTTGTGTTTTGTACTTAAAACACAGCGTCTCCCGTGGAAGGGTCTGAGGGCACGCAGCGGAAAATGTGTGGGACGCTCAGGATGGCTTTACTTATAATATCACTTATTCACTGCGAATTACTCACACGTGTAAACACACGGATGCCTGTGCCGGGGGTCACTGAGCTGGGCTCTGCGCCCCCAGGCATGCCGGAGCTGGACGAGGGCACCATGGAGAGGGTCCTGGAGGAGTTTGAGCAGCGCTGCTCCGACAACATGAACCACGCCATCGAGACGGAAGAGGGCCTGGGCATCGAGTACGACGAGGACGTCGTGTGTGACGTCTGCCAGTCGCCCGACGGTGAGGACGGCAACGAGATGGTGTTCTGTGACAAATGCAACATCTGCGTGCACCAGGTATGTGGGCAGCGAGGCCCAGGCAGAAGCCCCGGGCCTGGGGCCGTTCTCCTGCTGCTCTGAGGGAGTGAAGAAATGGGTCCCGACATCGCACTGTCCCTACGCTGTTCTCAGTGTTTGAAGTATTTCTCGATACTTTTACAACCAGAAGCATAGACTCCTTTGTGAGACTCTCTCTCCCTCACATGTTCTTAGTCCTGCCCATGGAAGTCAGGTTTACTTAAAAAGGATATATGCGCCCTCTGCCCGGCGGCCAGCACCTGAGTCCAGGTATTAAGAACACTGAGAAACCTTGAAAAGGTGGTTAGTTAGCTGGATCAGTTTCCTCCGACTGCCGTAACGAAGTGCCACAAACGGCGTGGCTTAAAAACAGAAGCCTGTCTGGCTGTTCTGGAGACTAGAAGTGTGAAAGCAAGGTGTGGGCAGGGCCGGGGGCGGGCAGGGCCCATCACCCGAGGATCCTTCCCCGCCTCTCCCCCTCTCCCAGTGTCGTGTGGTTTGCTGGCCGTCGTTGGTGCTCCTGGACGTGCAGTTGCACAGCTGTGTCTCTGCCTTCGCCATATGGTGCCCTCCTGTGGGTGTCTTCACACCTGACATCTTATAGGGTTCCCTTTCCCATGGAATTCGAGGCCCACCCTCCACCAGGGTGACCTCTTCCTAACTGACCACATCCGCAGGGACCCTGTTTCCAAATAAGGCTGCATTCTGAGGTACTGGGTCAGGACTGTGACATCTCCCCTTGGGATACAGTTTAACCCATGACACTTGCAAATGTGTTAGTGTGCACACTGAGCTGTTAAGAAGAGGAAGGAGTTCCCTTTTCTGGAAATGGATTTCCTGTCCTCCCTGATTGATCCCAATAGGGCTTGGTGGTGGCTCGCCGCCTTCTGTGAAAAGCAATCCGCAGGCGTCAGTAAGGGTGGACACTGGGACAGTCTCCGTCTTTCTCACCTCTCGTTTATTTTTAACGCAATAATGAAGCGACTCGGATTTCTGTGGGGACTCACGTTCACATTCACTGTTAGGATTTAAAGGACTACCCTGAGGTCCTTTCTGTGAATTCACCTGTTTATGCCGACATCAGCTCCCTTAGACGTGTGTGGAGGTTGCTCGGCGACCTTCGTGGGAGAAGAGCCGGGTTTGCTCTGGGACTTTGTTGGATATCGTGTTCTGTACGGTGTGCCTGCCTCTTGGCCTCCGCTCTGCCTGGAGACCTGGCTGCCGTGGTCCCGCCCCGCTCGTCCTGAGAGAGCGACCCGCAGCCTGGGTTTCCCGTTGTCGAGGACGCTTCCTTGGGATGATGGAGAATCCCTGCAGGTTTCGCTGTGACAGATCGCGAGCACCATTACTACCACAGTTGTTTCTTGTTGCTGGTGCTGTTAACTTGGAGGACTTTTCAGAGGTTTTTTTTTTCTCCTATTTTACTTATTTTGCCCCTGAGAAACAGTTTGTTTGAAAAAAAGGGTTCTGCGTGGAAGCTCTCAAACCCCCTGTTTCATAGATAAGTAACTGATGTCAGGGGGCTGCTCAGGCCCCTGTGGGTCAGTGGCCATTGGAGCTGGAAGTTGGGGTGTCTGGGCCCCCAGCGACCCCTCTGCCTGGTCTTGTTCCGCCTGCCATGACCACATTGTGTCTTTCCTTAGCATTTCCTTGTGGTTCATTTTTCTTTTGAGACGTTCTTCAAGGCTTGACTTAAAGGCATATTTTATTTAATCTTTTAATTTTGTTTAGACTTGCTTTTCTAGTAAAAAAAAAAAGATCTTTTCAATTGTGACTTTCTCTAGGATGCCTGACAGTTTGAAACCTTGGGGTGTTTGAAACCGTACTAGAGTCATTTAGCTCTATTTAAAGTTGTTTCCCGTCCGTCTGTGTTGACAGTGGCTCATTCACGGCGCTGACATCGCGCCCTGAGCTCTGCCAGGCTGCTCACTCCGCCCGCTCTCATCCCTGCGGTTTCCTTTCTGCGTCCTGTGCTCTCAGACGGCACTGGGCTGCTTTCCTGTCTGGAGGGCTGGAGCCCGTGCCTGTCTCCCGACTTCCTGACTCGCAGTTCATCTGAGGACAGCGGCTCACAGTTGGTGTTTCGAAGGCGCGGACCCTGCTGCCATCATGGTTTTGTTTCCTCACTTACTTAACACGTTGCCTTTTCGTGCTTTGAGCCGTCACAGCGACTTTGCTTGTAAAAGCTTGATTTCTGCAGTTTGGCCTTCTTGTGCAGGACAGGTTTTGCTCTAAGTATCAATTAAAAGGACCAAATCCTCTCGGTCTAGAAAGTCACCCCTTTCTGGGCCTGGGGGTTCCCTGGGGAGAGTGTGGGGATCGGTTGGCAGCGTGTGAGCCTGGGGAACGAGGATGCCCCTCAGCTGGTGTGTGGTGGCCATCCCGTTTCATAGCTGTGGGAGGCTCTGGGTTGCCCTGTGTTGTTTTCTCCCTTGAATCCCACCCCCACCAGGAAGCAGGGGACAGCTTCCCCTCTTTAACCCCGAGCCCTGCCTTGAGGACCGCGGCTCAGTGTGGAGAGGTGGGTGGCCCGTGGTGTCCGTAGCCACACAGCAGAGCGGACGCTTTGCAAACCTTTGTCCTCGGGGAGTGTTCACAGTCACCTGGTGGTGAGCAAGTCATAGTGTGTCCACAGACGTCACGCACCTCCCGGCTGCCTTTTACCTCAAGGGAGAGGGTCCCTGTGAGGTGGGCACCGGAGTACTTCTGTTTTTCCGCGTGTCCTGTTAAAATCCTTCTGGGTGTTTTAAAAGTAACAGATACAACGGGAAAAATGAATCCTTTACTTTCTCTCTTTTCTCTTTTCCTCGGGGCGCTGTGCCTTACAGGCCTGCTATGGAATCCTCAAGGTCCCCGAGGGCAGCTGGCTGTGCCGGACGTGTGCCCTGGGGGTGCAGCCCAAGTGCTTGCTGTGCCCCAAGAAAGGCGGAGCCATGAAGCCCACCCGCAGCGGGACCAAGTGGGTCCACGTCAGCTGTGCTCTGTGGATCCCCGAGGTGCGTGTGGTCTTAAGGAGGTTCTGGCTTTTAGCTGGGGCGGAGGAGGGAGCGGTCACACATGGCCACGTAGCTGATGAGGAAAAGCACACCTTTTAAGTGCTGCCCATTTCCGCCCCCCCACCTGCTTCACCTGAATCCCGCGCACCTCCCTCTAGTGGGGGGGCGGGGGAGGTGGGGGGTGCAAACTTGTGGAAATATTCACCAGGCAGCAGTGCGTAGGATGGTGTTCAGTTGTCCATCACAGCTAATCCTCCCACTGGGACACGGGCCCCAGGAGCAGACCAGTAGCTTCTCCGCTGTGGCCTGGGCGCTGAGCCCTTCCGCCAGGACTGCGCCTGGCCGGTCCACGGGACGCCACCATGGTTAGGAGCCACTGCTCTAGGTCACGTTTCTGTGGTTTTTATTGGAATTCTCCCTTAGCCTCAACCTTTTTAATTTCAGGTCTGGTGTAATTTATTTCCAGTCCCAGACCTTGACTAATTTAATTTGCATGGTTCACTGTGGAGAATATCATTTTCGATTCAGATTTCAGCGTTTTTGGTGTATGATTCTTGGTGCATTTCCCTCCTGAGGAACATTATCTGGGGACGGTGGGGTTGCGGCTTCATGCCTCGGGCCCCGGTAGCGCCGGGCTCGTGGTTTGCTATTAACAGGGACCCGGTTCAGTGACCCAGACCCCGTGCCAAGGAGAGCTGTGTGTCTTGGTAGTTTTCCACTGTGTAGTAACCTTTCCGGTTCGAAGAGGATGGTTTGCTCTAGCGAGACAGACACTAAAGTCAGTCTGTAGATGTGCTCCACCTTCAGCCCTGACCGCTGCGGGTGGGCCAGAGCTGTGGTGGCGCCTCAGGCTCAGGTGAGAAGTGCACGCTCGAGTGTTATCTGAGTGTTCTGGGACCCGGCATGTCTGCGTCACATGACTCCCAGACGCTCAGGGTGGAGGGAATGGTCCCTGGGCTCTGGGCTCTCCTGTCCCCGAACTGTCCCCTGAGCTGTGCTGATGCGTTAAAGTTAGGGGTGTGCCCCTCCTAGGAGGCCGAGTGCCCTTTGCCCCTGCCTGGTGGGAGGCCACGGGAGGTAGCACATCTTCCAGTTTCTGCCACCCGTGTTCAGCCTGGGTCGGTCTCACAGCCTCGGGCGCACTCTCGCTGTTTCTTGGGCCCTAGGTGAGCATTGGCAGCCCCGAGAAAATGGAGCCCATCACGAAGGTGTCTCACATCCCCAGCAGTCGGTGGGCGCTGGTGTGCAGCCTCTGCAACGAGAAGTTTGGGGCCTCCATACAGGTATGGCCTAGTCCCCACGGCTTCATTTTCTTCCCTGTGTCGCAGGGAGCAGGATTGGGTGGCGGAGGGGAGGGGAGGGGTCTGTGAACTCTGGAGATTGAAGGTGAATTCAGGAAGCAGGATCGGGGGCTCACTCGTATGGGGAGGGAGGCTAGGACTGGCCCCAGCGTGGTCTGATCCTGTGTTGTGGGCGGATTGTGTTCCGTGTAAGCAGAATGCTGGTTCGGCCTTCACGGGGCCACTCGGGCTCTACCTTGGCTGCAAGGACGGTCAGTTTGTCCTCCCTGCTCCCAGCCTGGCAGACGCCTCCGGGGAAGAGCCAGCCTTGACACTGGAGGGTGGGCCACCCTCTTACCTGTCTGCAGGCTGACAGGTGACCCACCTCCGGCTGCCCTGACCTGCTGGTTGCCCAGGTGCAGGGTGTCCTGTCTCAGGTGGGACGTGGCAGCAGCCTGGCATAGCTGATGAGGGACGCCACGAGGTGCTGCCCGAGCACAGCCTGGCCATCCGGTTCTCCGTGCACCTCGCGCACTGTAGCTGTTACGTAAGCCTTGGCTGCTTCTTCTCTGTCCTCCTGCAGACAAGTGTAGACAATCTTCAGGTAGATAGAGTTAAGGAGAGAACATACAGGCATGCTGTTCTTTTTCATGTCTGAAACTACTTGAAGTTAACTTCTGGGCCTCACGTTATTGGCATCTCCAGATAGTCACGACTCGAGGCCTGCAGTGCTGTCCCCACGTCTGCAAACGCTGTGTGTCGCTGACGGTGGCCCGGATGGCCCGGTGCCAGCTCAGGGCCACGGCTCCTCCCTGGCCTCCCTCTCGGTCCCCGTCACCCTCTGAGCAGGCGCATGCTCCACGAGCTCGGTCCAGCTGCCAGTCATGGGTTTTAGGAAAATGACCTCATTTGGCAAAACCGATTTGTATATATGGCCGATAGATATTTCTTTCATTAAGGTACCCACGGACTGGTGGCTTTAAAAATTTCTCATTAAATACTGGTGTTCGAGAGTCCAGAGTGGAACAGAAATGTTCAGAGGGTGAGGCCTGAGACAGCTGGTGGGATCGGGTTGCGGACCTTGAAAGTAGTGCAGTTTTGTATTCGAATAGAATATGCTTAAAACGAACACATGGCAAGAGCCTTGAATTTAAAAAGAACGCATCAGAGGTGTGCGTGTGTGTGTGCGTGTGCGTGCATGCATGTGCGTGCGTTCGTGTGTGCGTGTGTGAACACTTGCAGGAACAAGCGTTGCAGACCCAGGAAGGTGGAAATCCTTTCCTTCCCAGCTACCTGTCGTGTGTCCCCGGGAGGCTGTCTCTGCCTTCCCCAGCACCGTCCTGGTCCTCACAGGAGGTGGGCGAACAGGGTCTCTGTTTCTCTTTTGAAGAAAGACAATCAGATGATTTTTGTGGCCGCTGACCTCTTTTCCCAGAACATTCATTTGAAAGAGAAGAGCCAAGGGAGGCTGGTGATTTTTCATATCTGCACAGAACGGGCTGATGTTATTAAAGAATTCCTCCCTGAATGTCTGCAGCTGTGGAGGCTGTGGTTTATGGTTCTGTAACATCTGTTTGCTGAGTCAACCTGAATCGGAAAACCCAAAGGAAGGCTGTTTGGCGCCTTTACAAAGTCCTGTGTAAATATTCCGCTGCAGCGCCTTCCTCCTGGTGGCCGAGCGCCTGGGTTAAGTGTAGAGCAAGCCAAACCCAGACCGTGTCCCCGGCATCCGAGCCCATTCCCACCCCCTGGGCTGTGTGCTAAAGGGAGGAGCCCTCCTCCAGGCTCTGATGGTGGCGGCCAGGTGTGTGTGTGTGTGTGTGTGTGTATGTGCGTGCGTGCGTGCGTGTGCGTGCATGCGTGTGTGTGTGTGTGTCCTGCCGATTTCACACGTTCCTGGGAATTGAGGTTATTTATCGGTAAAATTACAGATTTCTCTTCTTTGGTGTAAGTGTTGGTGAGGAGGGAATGGTGAAGGAAGCTGGATTTTCCGTACTTGCGGGTAAGAGACTGTATAATAACGGGAGAAGTCCTGAGTGGCAGTGAGTCCCGACCTGTTACATACTGTAGTGATGGGAGCAAAGCCCCAGCTCCATCCTCTGCCCTCCATGGTCATGGGTTTCGGCTGCTGAGTGAGTGTCATTAAGCTTTTCAGCTGGCCCGGGGCACTCCCTCAGCCCTGGCGAGCCCAGGTCACTTGGCTTCACACGACACAGTTGTTTTTAAGGGACTGGCTTCAGTCACCACTATCAGCCTCTCCCAGGGGTTCACCCAGTGGGGTCAGATGGGAGACCTTATTTGCTGTCCTCCTGCCAGGCCGCCAGCCCTCTGAGCTGCAGACTGTAGCCCCAGTGCTGGGGCGAGCGGGAGACTCCTCAGGTGGCCTCCTGACCCGGGGGGTTGGGCCCCTCGTGGTTCTCTGCCACCACAGCCAGCTCCGCCAGGCAGGGCGCATGTGGCCTAGTGCCACTTTCACTGCCCTGGAAGCATCGGGCGAGGGTCCCTCATGGGTGTGGAGACTCGTCCCGATCTCCCTGGGCTGGGCTCTCCTTGTCTCCTGCTTTTTTCTCTTCAGGAGTTTGCATTCACCTGCCTCATCCTGAGTGGCAGGCTTGGAAGGAACGTCTCACTGGTGCTGGGCTCTGCTGGCCGGGGCGAGAGCGAGCATTCAGCTTCCCAGAAAACCTCCGACTAGTTGTGCCCTCCTCCCGAGGAGGCTCCTGTCATCCCGGCCTTTTATGTAAACAGTTAAGAGCTCAGATCCAGAGAAAAAGCACATCAGTGCTCCCGCGTGCACCCTGCTAGTTCAGCACATGCTCTTTTGCGTGTAGCGTCAGTGCCAGCCCCGCCCCGGCCACACAGCCTGTGCAGGCGGTCTGTCCCAGACCATGGGCCACAGGGGCCCGTCTGACAGTTAGGGTTGGTTCACGAAACCTTCCATCTGAAGTTTCCTGAACTCTCAAGCCTTATTTAAAATGCCACTGGGTTAGTGTGCCAGGGCTAACTCGGGGGCTTTGTCATGGCCACGCTGGGCGCAGCTCTGCCGTGTGTTGGGGTGCCCGGCACCGAGGGGCGTCAGCACTGTCCTGCGTGACCGTCTTCCTTCTTGTCCTCACCAGTGCTCCGTGAAGAACTGCCGCACGGCCTTCCACGTGACCTGCGCTTTCGACCGGGGCCTGGAGATGAAGACCATCTTGGCGGAGAACGATGAGGTCAAGTTCAAGTCCTACTGCCCGAAGCACAGCTCCCACAGGAAAGCCGAGGGGAGCCTCGCGGCGGGGGCCGCCCAGGAGAACGGGGGGCCCGAGTGCTCCCCCCGGAGCCCGCTGGAGCCCTTCGCCAGCCTGGAGCAGAAGCAGGAGGAGGCCCACCGGGTGAGTGTCCGGAAGCAGAAGCTGCAGCAGCTGGAAGACGCCTTCTACACCTTCGTCAACCTGCTGGACGTCGCCAGGGCCCTGCGGCTGCCGGAGGAAGTGGTGGACTTCCTGTACCAGTACTGGAAGCTGAAGAGGAAGGTCAACTTCAACAAGCCCCTCATCACCCCAAAGAGAGACGAAGAGGACAATCTAGCGAAGCGGGAGCAGGATGTCTTGTTTAGGAGGCTGCAGCTGTTCACGCACCTGCGGCAGGACCTGGAGAGGGTAATGATTGACACCGACACCTTGTAGTGACTTAGAGAAGAGGACTGCTCAGAGGCCACGCTTGCGCAGAGCCAGCGAGGCGGCTGGTCACTCGCTCAGACCCCGCACACACTGCAGCATGAGGGTGTGTCCGTTTAGTGTCCCTGGGCTGGGAAGCTCCCACAGGGGCTTCTCTGTGACTTACTTTTAAATATTTCCCCATTAATCCTTATTGTTCTTCTGCAAGATCAAATGGGGTGTGTTTTCCCTCCATTGTAGAGCTAGAAAGATCAGAGCCCCAGGAAAATGACCAAGGGATTGGCCCAGGATTGTTTGCAAACGGTTAGAAAACAAGTTAGAACGGACTTGCCTAATGGTGGGGCGGGCAGGGGGCTAAGATCTCTCGTTCAGCCTGGGACACACGGGGTGCTGGTCAGGGTGGCTCTGAGGAGAGTGGGGCGCTGCCTCTGCCCCCTATTCCTGGCTGGCTCATAGGCATCCCGTGCTGAGGGGCAGGGCAGGTTGTGGGTGCTGGCGCGTGTGCAAGCACTGACACGCGCGTCTGCCACAGGTCCTCCTGGCAGTGAGGTGCTACTTCATCCCTGAGGCTGTGTCTCTATCACGTGTGCCTGTGTCTGTGTCACGTGTGTCTGTGGTGTGCCACGTGTGGTTGTGGGGGTCCCGTCCTGCTCAGCACGCACAATATCACTGCGCATTGCTGTGTGAGGCGGCTGTGGGCTGCCTGGGGCCACTGCCGCTTCCTTCAGCTGTTGCTGCTTTGTGCCTCCACCCGTGACCTGGGGAGTCCCAGGTGGACTTCCCTTCCTGCACAGGTGTAATTAGGAGAGGCTCTCCCCCCAGGGCCTCCTGCTCCCGGTAGGTAGTTTCTGACTGAGGCTTGCTAATTGGAGATGCGTCTTAGAGCACCTTCTGCGGCAGCTCCCGACTGATTAAATTCATTAGCGCACAGCTGGACTCGGCTGGACTCGGCTCCTGGCCTGAAACAGTTAACCCACCTCCCTGAGCTCAGCGGGGGGACTCACCTGCCTGGGAGAGGCTGCCTCGGATGATTGGAAATGAGAGTCTAAGCATAGGGCGAATGGAAGTGTGGGACCAAAAGATGCAGATCTCTCAGAGGGACCGACCGGTACAGCTCTGGGAGAGGTGGCATCGGCGTGCAAGTGTTTTTACGTGTTCACTGGAGACCTTGTCTGCACAGGACCCAGGGCCAGCTGTGACACCCCTTCCGGGAGCGGGGTAGGATTGGGGTCAGGCGAGGCCAGCACGGGGGAGGAGGGCTGAGGCTTTCGTGCTCCCACACGCCCCCTGGTGGTGAGTGTGCAGAAGACCTCGCCTCTGACCACACGGATGTGTGGCGTTTTGTTAAGAGGAGAAAGGGATACAGAGGGATAAGCCGGAACCCTGGCGAGGGGCCAGTCCGTGACGACCGCTGTCCTGGGCGCACGAGCCCGGAGGCAGGTCGTCCTCAGGAGGGAGGACGAGAAGTCTGATGTTTGGACTGTGTTTGTCTCACAGTCACCACAAAATAAAAGCGTAGAAAATGTTTGTGGTGTACTAACTCTTTTCTGTGCTTAAGTTACTCAGATTAACATGGACTTATAATTAAATTCTGAACATCTTTTTGGAGTCATCACTGTTGCTTTTTAAGTAGAATGATACCAATTATGTATGAGAAACAGGGAATAAATCAGGATTTCTGTGTGTGTGTGTGGCATTACTTACATTTACTTTAATAAAGAGCTTAACAGATTTTAGGGTATTTAGTGTCAGTTTAAAACGGGCTTATTATAATGAAAAATACGTTTTCCAAAATGTGCCATGAGGCCTATGATGGTGGGGCTTTAGAAGATTAAACCTTTGCCGTGCCCCAGAGTCCCAAGGGTCTTTGTAATTATAAACAAGAAGTGTATCAGGCCAAAGGCTCATCAGAACAAATCATAAACGTATGCTCTCTTTGTTCTGCCTACTTCACACAGTAGGACATCATAGCAGGCACACAGAATCAGGTACCGCCCGGGACAATCAGGGTCCGTGGTCAGTCCCAAACTGACCCATGAGCAGCCTTCATTAGAAATGCAAACAGCTGACGAATGATAATGGCAACTGCTCTTTCCTGCAAAGACACACCCCAAGGCATTGCACACCTGGTAGCAGTTGTGGACCAGAAAGGACAGGGATGGCTTCCAGGAGGGACTGGGAACCCACACCTTTAAGAAGACGTGATTGCTGATGAGTGCTGGCTGGTCACGGCAAGTCCCCCAGGCCTCACCTCCCGTGGGACTCTCCCCCCTCAATGAGGCAGCTGAGTGCCTGCTGGGATAGACATGCTGCCTCTACGACAGGCAAGGCATCCAGAGGGGCCGGTCCTGGGGCTTGTCCACTCAGTGCTCAGTGGCACGGCCACCGGTGAAACGAGCTACCATTGTCCCTGAACAGAAGGCACCTTGAGCTTTAGTGTGGCGAGCAGTGCTTGGGATTCAAGAAAACCCTGAAAGCACTCTTGGACTCCCGAGGACAGCGGTTCTCAGAGAGGTCCCCAGCCAGCAGTATTATCTGGAAACCTGAAATGCTAATTTTTGGACCCCACTTCTGACTAGGAATTCTGGGGTTGGGGGGCAGCATTCTGTATAGGGAAACATACATATATAGATTGATTTTAGAGAGAGAGAAAAATAATAGATTTGTCCCACTTCTTCACGCATTCATTGGTTGATTCTTATATGTGCCATGACGGGATTGAACCTGCAACCTTGGCGAATCGGGGTGATGCTCTAACCACCTGAGCTACCCTGCCAGGGCCGGCAAATGCTGCATTTGATGAAAGCCTGACTCGGGTGTCACGTGGTGTGAGGGTGCACCGTGAGCTGGTGTTTTGGGGTACCTCCTTGCTGGCCTGTTGGTGGGGAGTGTGCAGGAAGGGCCAACAGGGTCTGTTTTCAGTGCAGAGCCTCCTTTCAGCTCTACACGTGGGGGCTGCTGGTGCCCTTGTCCTGTGAGGAGTGTGTGCACCGGGGGTACCGCTTAGGGTGCTCACTCTTCTAAACAGCGAGGCCTGGGCTCTTCGGGGGCCGATTCGTTCCAACTCACAGTGAACCCGGGCCTTTGCCTCTTGGGGTTCGAGTTGGATGTTTCTCATCAGAGGTCGTGGGGGAGAGAAGGGATTTCCCAATTAGCAGCCAGGTGGAGGCCTTCCCCGGGGAGTGGCTGAAGCCCCTGAAATTAAATTGGAATAATACACACCGTCCTGGCCTCTGGCTCCGGGGTCTCTGTTTCTGTGGATAATTTCAAGGGAGAGAAGTGTCTCTGCTGTACATCCAGCTGGAACAAAAGGACCACCTATCCCTAGTCTAGAGCCAGAATTAATTCCCATTTCCGGAGGCCAGATTCTGTTTGTTTTCCGAAGGTTTTGAATCTGTGACCTCTATCTAGTTCTTGCCTCTTTCTCTTTGAGCTCCCACTCTAGTCCTCCCTGGGTGGAAGAATGCTCATGAACGAGAATAGCCTGTTAGCCACCTCTGTCCCCCGTTGGTCAGGGTTTTAATAAAGGACACCCACTTCCTGGCCTGGGGGGCTGAGGCTGTGAGATGAAGAACCAAAATATTTACTCGGGGACAGGGAGCGAGACTTTCTTCTCAGGTCTTTAATGTTAGACTTATATTCTTTTTCAGTGAAGAAGTGTTAGGAAGATGCTAAATACGTTGCACATGGAGGTAAATGCAGGAGCCAGCGAGCTCGTGCTTGAGACTCTGCAAGGTGAGAGTCTCATGTCCTCTCACCTTGAACCCAACGGGAATCCTTGGGGCTCAGGACAGACGGAAGACGGAGGGGCGGTGTCTGCAGAAGCTGGTGCAGTCCTGTGTGTATGGCCGGTCCTCATCCTCACTACCAATGTCAAAGGACCGTTGACCTCTCAAGTTTCAAGGCAGGCAGCGGGGGAAGGGATTGCCAAGCATAAGGAAAGGGTTTTTAGGAGAGTTGGGAGCCGATGGGGAACAGGAGCCACTGTTCACTGCTGCCACGGAGGATTGGGGACATCTTGTCCATGTCCTCCTGCAGGAGGCCGGATCGTGTTTCTGCTCTGCTGTGTTTTGAGATCTGTGCATTCAGGCCCACGGAGTCTGGTCAGGTTACCAATAGGTTTTAGGACTGAAGGATTTAAGGGGGTTGATTGATGAATCCTTTAAGTTTTGTTTCCGTGTTGACTGATCCCAGGTGGCTTAGGACTGAGTCTACGTTGGTTAGTTTTGAGTGTGTGCGTGTGATCCCCGGGGGTTGAACGTCAGGTACAGAGTGGAACTGTGAGCACTTGGGTCTTTTCAGTTTCTTACAAATGAGTCAGGAAGAGGGCAGCATCCACGTCTCAAGTGTGACTCAGACAGAGCTGGACGGCATGTTCCGTGAGCATCAGCTGCCTGTGAGCTGCGGGTGGTGCAGTGCCCAGCTGACCGAGACAGTCACTTGGCTTCTTGGAGACCACTGGGTCTTCTGGTGAGCCTTGTGCGGGGGGTGGGTTTCTCTTCTGATTGCCCTTGACCCTGTGTTGACCTCACTTCCCTTCAGAAGGTGCTGGGTGAAGTGCAGCGAAGCGCAGGGGCTTCTGACCTCGCTAAAGCCTTTCACCTGCAGGTGCGGGGCGGGTCCTTGGGAGAGACATAGCTGGTCCCAGCTGGGCCCCAGCGGCCCTCTCTCTGCCGGGATGAGTCTAAGGCTGGGTGTGGTGGAGGCGGTGGGACTTTTGTGGGATCCTGTAGGTGCTCCTCCCACCATCTCATCCTGCGTGGAGGGGATGTGTGGAATCCTTGTTAGCAGCCCCAACGAGTTAAGAGATTGGATAACGTATTTAAAGTACATTTTGATTTCAGATGTCACTCAAGGCCCTAGTAGGACAATTTCCTCTCAGGTAAAAAAACAACAAAACGCCCACCAAAGTACTGTTACAATGCATTGCTTACTTAGAATCTTTATTCTCTACATTCTAGGTTCGGAACCTCACTTACATGGTGACCCGCAGGGAAAAGATTAAGCGATCTGTGTGCAAAGTCCAGGAACAGATATTCAATCTTTACACTAAGCTCTTGGAGCAAGAAAGAGTTTCAGGTATGCATCAGCCTCGCAGCTCCGGCGGCAGGTGGGGCTGCACGCCTAACGCTCTGCTGAGGAAAGCAAGAGTAGTTCCTTTCGTTTCCTTGTATCCGACAGGATAACCTCAGAAGCACAGACTTGCATACGTAAAGGACACCTTTAAGCATCTGAGGCATGGGTACAGGGGAAAGGGCTAAGGATTTGGCCTCAAATATGGGTCGCATCTTTTATCCTCTACGTCCGGGCCAAACAAGCACGTCTCCAGTTTTCCCCGCCGCCCCATTTCCTCATATGTAACTTGAGGACGGTATCTCCAGCTACTGCCCGGGAACTGTTATAAAGCTCAAATGAAAGAGTAACTTCTATATTGCAAAGCACTTGATCAATGTAAGGCATCATGGGGAGACCTAAAAAGATGGGTGGGTTACCTAGCCTGGCACCTGCCTGTGGCATATGCTCAGTGGATCCTAAGACCGTGCTCGAGGCATATGTCTACATTTAGAGAACATCCCAGTGGACTTTTTTTGGTGTAGGTGGAATTTGCATCTTTTGGAGATTCAGCACCAAGTATGTATGTATTTTGTGCCTTCGGTTTTACATTTCTCTGGGCTAACCAAAGGGGAAAAGGAAAAACCACCGCAATTACTTGGAAGTCAAATACACAGTTGGGCCCGTGTGTAACCTCCTGGGACTCTGTTGGTCTGTGGAAGAGGTTGTCCAGAACCACAGCTGCCTTTCGCCGCTGTCGGTCTGCGCGCATCAGTGCTGGGAAGCGGGGTAGAAGGCTTTCAGAAAAGGTGATGTGCTGAGCGTGGGTCAGGCAGAATCACGGACTCAGGGCCCAGGTAGCTCTTAGGTGAGTTCGTCTCGTCTCATCTCTGTGCCTGTCTGCCCTTTAAAGTTAGAGCAGCAACATTTGAAGTACTTGCATTGTGCTGAGTCATGGCTGGCTCGCTGTAGATTATTCTGACACGTGGAAACATTTACACCCTATAGTGTTGTTACACCCTATAGTGTTGAAATTCGAATTCTGATTTACCCCAAACCAGTGGTTGGCAAACTCATTAGTCAACAGAGCCGAATATCAACAGTACATCAATTGAAATCTCTTTTGAGAGCCAAATTTTTTAAACTTAAACTATATAGGTAGGTACAGTGTTATTAACTTAATTAGGGCACTCCTAGGCTGGCCTTTGCTAAAAACGTCCTCAATCTGATTGAGGTACGTTCGCTGAGGTTGACCCCTTCCAACACTCGTCTTGTATACTTGTTTCGTCTATCTCCTTTCGTTCATCCTCTCTATATGTCCAAATCATCTCAACATACCTTTTTCAATCATCGATACTACATCTTCTTTCACTCCACAATGTTCCCTGTACGTGGTATTTTGCGGAAGAGCCACACTCAAGCGGCCAAAGAGCCGCATGTGGCTTGCGAGCTGCGGTTTGCCGACCACTGTCCCAAAACAACCAGATAAATGTGACCACAGGTACAGAGGTCCTCACATCGCGTAATTTTGCTCAATGTCGTTTCATTAGAACTTTGAGGAGATGCCATGGGAACTCCACCCTTGTTTATATCAATTGGCCTCTGGTACGTTGGTTTCCCATGTGCCCTTTCACGGGACATCGCTGAACCTGCGTGAAGTGAGGACTTACTGTAAATTGGTCAATGGAACAAAGAGAAAAAAGCCTATGGAGTATTAAGTGACATTCTTGAAGTAATACATAGTTTTAATGGCATTAATTTATTAATGATATCTTAGATTTTTTTTTTCTCGAGGAATGGATCAAGCTAATATCATCAAACTTCCTAAGTAGGGTGTCATAAGTAACAGCAGTTCAATTCAGATTCTTTATAATGAACTTCTGTCTCTTCACTGACTATTCGCATGATTTTTCCTCGGAGGAAGCAGGCAGGTCCCCGTCTGTAGCCGCGTTGGAGCTGGGCAGTGCTGAGTGCAGGCTGTGCCTGGGGGCGCTGGGGGCTTTCTGTGACTTTTGCTAAAGTGTTTAAAGGGAGATTACCTCTGAAGATGAGCTGTAAGGAGCATGTGCATCTGGTTTCTCTGAGGCATTTTTCACGGGTGTTGCCGGCAGCTCTGCGTTTCCCGGCTGAGGCTGTTCCTTGGCAAAGTGGTTGAGACCCTGAGCCAGGTGAGGCTGTTTGTGTAACAGTGTAATGCATCCCTCCGCTCAGGTCCTGCTGCTCCTGCAGGAAAGGGAGCCCAGTCGGCCCTCCCCACCGCACCAGTGGGAAGGGCTGAGCGCAGCATGTCCCTGTGAGAGCCACCGCCGGTGCAGGGCACACCCAGGGCCTTGGTCCCTCCTTTTCCAGTGTTAGACTCTCAGTTGGGCGCTGCCTCTGCCAGCCCCTCCCCTGCCCTGCGCAGCTTGTGATTCCAAGTGACGCAGCACGGACGCCCGTGACTTTCCCGTGTCATTCAGGGGCCACGGTTCAGGCTCTGCTGTGAGTGACTCTGAGGACGGGAAGGGCTGTTCTGCTGGATGAGTGTCCCCAGTGGAGAGGCTGCCTGTAGAGGTCATGCGTCGGAGACTCTAGAGAAACACGATTCCAGGTCAAGTAGAGAGAATCCGAGTCAGAAAACGCCTGCCCCCCTTTGCTCTGTTTTCCCACAGGGGGTGAGAAAGAACACCAGTGTGGCGTGCGGGCGGAGCCTGACCTTTGATTCGTGGGAAAGCAGGCACTTCCAAGCCTGCAGGTTATGTGCACCCTCCCCGGGTGGTGGCAGTTGTGTTTAGAGTCGCTGGCTCTGTTCCGTTCCACGCTTGGTCCGTGTCTGCTCCGGCCTGGGATGCCGGTGGAACCCCCTTTCCTGCTGGTCCTCACCCCACAGGAGACAGAACCCCGAACCCGCTCTGAGGCCCAGGTGGGAACGTGGCCCTCCTGATGAACTCACCCAGCTTCTCAGACCGAGGGTTAGGACTCGGTGGGTGGTGAGATGAGCGGAGTAGTTCATCACCAGCTTTAAAAACAAGGGGAACAGACAAGGTCAGAGTGCCTATCAGATGAAGGACAGTCAGACTTCAGGAAAAGTGGGCTTTTACTGAGTAATGTGAAATTTAGTTCTCACTGTGATTTGCATGAAAAATGGTTCAAAAAGACCAGTTTAACTTATCTCATGTTGGGTTACATGTCGGTTTAATTCCACCAATGGGTTTACATCTAATCGTAAACATTTAAAAAACATTCACTGTATGTCCGGGATGCCTTTTAACACCTTCCCTTCCCCATTTCATAGTCCCACACATTCCCCCTCGTCACAGCGCTGTGAGGGCGAACACCCGTCTGGGGAGGAGCCGGAAGAGCCGCAGCGCCGGCCACCACCACCTCCCCTGGGGCCCCTTCCCCTGGGAAAATCGGTCAGCTCTTGTGTTGAAGGCCAATGTATTCCTGGAAGAGGTTGTTTCATGAAAACCGCTGTGACTTTGGCTGCTAGGAAAGGCAGCCTGCTAGTTGTGTGCCCTCGGGTGCTGATTCCCAGGCAGGTGCCCCTGTCCGCGGACCGGCGCCTTACAGCCCGGGCCCCTGTGTTGTCTGCGGGCGTTTCCTTCCCAGGGTAACCCCCTTTCTCTGCTTGTCCGCCGCAGGTGTGCCTTCGTCCTGCTCCGCCGCCTCCCTGGAAAGCGTGCTTCTGTTCAACAGCCCCTCGGTGGGCCCCGACGCCCCCAGGATCGAGGACCTGAAGTGGCACTCGGCCTTCTTCCGGAAGCAGATGGGCACCTCCCTGGGTCGCTCCCTGAAGAAGCCGCATCCGCGAGCCCTCCTGCAGGGCAGCCCGGGGCGCGGGGCCCAGGCCCTGCACCGGGAGGCGGCGGGGCTCCCCGAGAGCTTGCGGAGCTTGGACAAGACCTTGGCCGACGCCCGCCTCCTGTCCGCGCAGCAGAGAAATGGCGCGATGGTGCCGGACCCCGGGAGCAGGAGGGACCACCGCTTCCATTGTGACCCCGGGAAGGGGGACGGGAAGGACAGGCCTTTCAAACAGAGTCACAAGCCTCTCAGGTCCACGGACGTGTCCCAGCGGCATCTGGACCCCGCGAGGGCCGCCGCCTCCCCTGCCGGGGGGCAGTCGGCGCCGGGTGCGAGGAGAGAGGGGTTGCCCAGGTGCAATGGCTCGCCTGGGCCGCGGGCCCGCCAAGGAGAGGGCGAAGAGCAAACTGAAGTCCGACACCGAGAGTGACGGCTACGCCCCCGACGTGGAGATGAGCGACTCGGAGAGCGAGGCCTCGGAGAAGAAGTGCATCCCCGCGGGCAGCGCCATGGGCCGGAGGACAGACTTCATCCGCAGGAGCATCCTGGCCTCCTGATGCGCCCGGCGCGTCAAAGTATTTCTCCACAAAATACTTGTTAATTTTAAAGGTGAAAAGAATAACTTTATGTTGTTTAAAGGGCCAGCAGACAGCACCTGAGCCAGGCACACACTTACTCGCCCTTAGGATGGATTTTTCTCAGTCATTTATACATCGTGAGAAGTGTGTGTTATTTGCAACTTGTTGAGGAAACACAAGAGTAGGTTGTAAGCGCACTACAGAAGCGGAATTAAACACTAAGCATGAATGAGGTGCGTTTTTGAAGAGGGAGAGGCTTACAGAAACCTCGCGAGTTTTTATTGCTCTGTATTCTTCCCAAAGCACAAACTCTTGGTTCCCCGAATACACGGGACCAGATATGGTTCTAGACACCCTCACGTACCTTTTACTAGCCCCTGACTGACTGTCCAGGACGGTGGTGGGTTGGAAACCATGTTCACCGTGGGCCCCAGGCTGTTCTTGTTGCATTGCAGTCTGTAGGCAGCAGCTCGGGCTTAAGGAACTCAAGGGGACTTGTGTGTAAATGTCCCAGTGGGAGGAGAGAAGTGTTGAGGGTCACCCCTGGAGGACCTGAAGCGGGGGCAGCTGGAATGTAAGGGAATGTGGCTCCTCAGCCTGCAGCCCTGGGAGGGGGAGGGGAGAGGACTGGTGCAGAGCGAGGTCACTGGGAAGTCTGTCTGTGAGAGAGGGCAGCTGAGGCCCCACTGACCAGTCCTCTTGACACCCCCTTCCCTAACTGCTGCCTGTGGGCCAGCGGGGGCGGGGGTCCCTAGCCATTGGCAGTCCCTGATCAGCTGGCCTGCAACAATACAGTAGTCATTCAGGTTCGAGCGATGACCTTCCAGACTCGGCTGACTCACACTTCCCAGGGCTCCCAACTGGAACAGATTCCTTAAGAACAAGGAAAAAAGGAAAAGAAAAAAAAAAAACCCAAACCCCAAACAAAACACACACACGTGAAATAGGCTATATTTTAGAAAAAATAGAAAGGCAATAAGTTGCGATAACCTCTTACCATTGACCAATTTCTACAGGAAAGAGTTTTAAGTGTAGTAGGTTTTCTGGAGTCAGTTCTAGGCTCTGATTGGTAACTGGGACTTTCTAATTGCAAATGGCAATAACTCGTAAGTTCTCAGCAATAATAAATTTAGCATTAATTTGAGTACACTGTTCTGTTTCTGCACTGGCTGCAGTGCATATGTGTTAAGACAGTAGTGTTAAGGTCCTGTTCATTTTCTTTGGAATTCAATGTAGTTGTGCATCAAACTTAAGAGAAGGAAGGTTTAAATAGCAATGAGACTTAGAATTATGGGCACTTGGAACAAGCCCAGCTTCCCCTAAATTGCCCCTTAGTTGGCTGGTATCAGTATTCAGATTCCTGGTTCATTTATACGTCTGCTTCCATGTGGCAGGGACATTCTGATACTCGATGAATAATGGTTTGAGTCCTGCGGTTAACTTTCAAGTCTTCCAGAGGATTGTCAACAACAAACAAGGCTTATTGAATTCCATCTTGCTATGCAAGTTTTGTCAGATGATCAAATAGTAGATCGGATGCATCCCCATTGTATGTATGACATTTTCAGATCAAGTCTTAAACTTTTTGAATACATTGTAGTAGCTAATTCAGGGGAGGGGAAAGGATGACCCAGGTTTAGATTGACTATTTTTGAGCTACGGGGCTCGTTTTGAAAGACTGTTGTCCAGATAAGCTGTTGCTGCAGATAAAAGTTTCTTACAAATCCAAGTTGTACTTTCACTCATAGCCTAATTTAAAAGTCAGATTTTTTGCATAGGAGCAGAAACCTTTTGCTGAGCACAGAAGGTGGACTCTAACCTTTGGACCACAGTGACAGCTCTGGTGAGAGTTAGAGGATATGGATTTGTCAAGCCATAGAAAGAAAACCTAAATTCTAGTGAGCGTATGACCTCTCACCGTTTTAAGAGGTACCAGATTCATTTGCACTATTAGGAATGCTAGTTTTGTGCAAAAATAATGCCTTACCTGTTTCCCCCCCACATTTAGGTTGAAAAGCTTTCAAACGTTTCAAGTTATGCTGAACCAAAAAAACAACAAAAACAACATAAGACAAAAAAATTAAAAAAAAATAGCCCAAGGAAAACAAGACACACAAAAGATAAAAAGCCCACTTTTTATTTCTGCTTTGAAATGCAAATGGCTAGAGCACGGTTTCTCCGGTGTAATGATAGCTTTGTAGGTCAGTTTTCTGTCCTGTGGGGATGTCTGCGAGGCCACCATCAGCAGCAACCCGCTCCCCACCCCCACCCTGGCCCCCCATGTACACTTCTTAGTGTGGGACCTACCATTTGCTCTTTTCTTTCTTTTTTTTTTTTAAGCTTTATCTTTCCTTGTGCACCCTGACCAAGAAGTATCTTTGATTATGATCAATGTATTTTGTCAAAATGTAGGCTAGTTAAACTTTTGTAAAGTTGCCTGGAATGTCATTTGTTAGGTTATAAACACAAAATCTCGATGAAGGGTTATATGTGTTGTGTACAAATCTTAATTATTTTCAAATGGACAAACTTGTCATTACATTTGTAACCTTGTACAGAAGATTTTTCACTATGTGCCTAGCTTGGTGTCCATTCAACTAAAATTGAAAAAAAAAAAAGGTGCATGAAGAGTTACAAATCAGAAATTAAACAAAGTATATGTAGAGATGACTATTTTATATGACATGGCCCAATCCTGTATTTATTTCTACCCCCTTTTTGAAAGTATTTATAAAACTAGTTGAGGACAGCTGTATTTTTTTGTTGAACTATTTAGTAGAATTTGTGCCTTTTTGTCTGTATGTGAATAAATGCTGTACATTTTGCAATACATCTTAAGTGTCTTTTGAAATCTGCTGTTGCTAAATGTTTAAAGATGTACATGAGTTAGTTCTGAATCAGCGTGTAGCAAGTGTCTCCTGGTTTAGATGATGAATGTAGCCCCGCTCAGGGGCTGCTCTCTGCCCAGCTCTGATGTGGAGACACTGAAAGATGATCACGGTTTGATTTTTGTCTTTCCTACCTCAATGGAGCTCTTTCTGGAACACACTTTTAGATCTGAAAACTAGTCGTTGAAGCAACTTAAGACTTTAGGGTCAGAGAGACTGGTCGCATGACCTTGGCCAGATCGCCTAGCCTTTATAAGCCTCAATTTCCCCTTCTGTGAAAAGAGGGTAACATCCTACAGTGTGACTGGGGTTACTGTGATACTTCAAGGAAGTCCATGCAGTAACTTAGGTAAAGCTGCAGAAGGATTTAGTAGCTGGGAGGCTATTTCTATGATGAGGAACAAGACCTTTTTCCAACATATTGTTGACTGGTGAGCATTCTGGGGCAAAAAAAAAGATGTTATTCCTGAGTGCAGGAAGATTGTTTCATAAGGCTCTTTAGAAAGATAACTTTTAAGAGCACGGTTTTATTAAACGCACTCTTAGGTATTTCTGCATTCTACAAAGACATGCCGAGGTCACTTCATTAGGCCTGGGCTTCAGGTCCACGTTTTTTTTTTTTTAGTACATTTTAATATATATATATATATATTATTGATTTTTTACAGAAAGGTAGGGAGAGGGATAGAGAGTTAGAAGCATTGATATGAGAGAAACATCGATCAGCTGCCTCCTGCACACTCCCCACTGGGGATGTGTCCGCAACCAAGGTACATGCCCTTGACCGGAATCAATCCTGGGACCCTTTAGTCTGCAGGTGGACGCTCTATCCACTGAGCCAAACCAGTCAGGGCTCGGCCCCATTTCTAATGTCTAGCTTGGTGCTCTCCCTGCCTGAAGCAGCATTGAGTCACCACATGCAGAAATTCACACCCATGACATGCAGTTTTCTGTGTTGGGGACAGCCAAGCCGACGTGGGTCCTCACCTAGATTGGGGTGCACAGGAGCCACACCAGGGTAGCGCTACTGCCCTCATGTATAATTTGGCCAGTGTGTGTGTGTGTGCTTTTTTTTTTTTTTAACATGAATTGTTCATACATTTGGCTAAAAGTTAATTTCTCCTGGTTCCTCCTTAGTGTTTCCTTCCATGTTGCTTGCTCTCCCCGGAGAGAAAGAACTGGGATTCTTCCTAAAAGGTCTTCACGTTGAATAACCACAACAGTTCCCCAGGGAAGTTCAGTCCCCAGGAGCCACAGGCAGGGCTTGGCCGTGGCAGGTCTGCATGTGATGGGGAAGGTGGCACCAGGGACCCGTGCTCCCGTGCTCCCCCAGATCACTCAGAGAGTGGTTTCTACCTTTGAAAGTCACCATCGGCAGCAAACTTGGCGATTAGCTTCCAGGGCGCAAGAGGATTTCTCTCTATTGCTCACAACTGCGTCGGGGATGTGGCCTGGTCTGGGGAGAGGAGGAGAGCTTGGACTGTCTGGTTATTGAAAAAGGGACATGGGCAGATCTTGTATCTACTTCCCTGGCTTCAGCTGCTCTCTCCACGGCGAGTCCACATCTGCACCCTGGCTCTTCCTGGGACGAGCCTGCAACTTTCCTCGGGATGTAGGCAGGTGCTGGGGTTTTCGGAACTCATCCTTTTCGTATCCTGCCTTAGAGACGGTAACTCAAGCCTGGAGCCTGGGAGTGCTGCCTGAGTCCTTTCTTCCACGCCCACGGCCAAGTCGTAGGTCTGTGGATCCTACTTAGTATCTCCTCAGCATTTTTCACTTCTCTCAATCCCAGAACTACGTGCCACATAGCTCAAGCTGCACCAGTTCTTGCCTGGGTGATTGCAGCTGCCTCGTGTTTCCTTCACTCAAGTCTTGCTGAAATTAATCCCTCCTCCCCCTCAATTAGCTGCAGCTTTGCCAACGCGATCTCCATAGTGATAGCTTGTGCAATTAAAATCTGAGTTCGTCATTCTGCGCATAGCCTTCAGGAGAGCCTCCAGACTCCTGCAGATATGCCAGGGCTTTCACCTCGCAGGCGCTGGGCTAGTTTATGTACAATGACTGTGTTTAAGCCTCACATGTGAGGTAAGTGTTATCTAATTTGCAGATGAGGAAACTGAGGCACAAAAGTCAAGTTAATTGCTCGAGGTCAGTAGGTGGTAGAGCTGGGAGTCAGTCAATCAATCCCTCGAGCTCAGCGGCCTCACAGAATATAAAGATAGTTCCCCTAAGGAGCTCTGGTGTTCCTGAGTGTGCTGAGGTTACACATGGGAACTTTAGGTTAATGAATTTCTATAAAGTAAAGCTGCTAATCATGGCCTAAAACCTACGTCAATGTCCTGGCCGAATGACTCTGAACGTAACCTAATGGATAATGACTAATACAGTCAGCTTGTGGTCAGGTGCTGCCTTCTTCTAGGGCAGTGGTTCTCAACCTTCCTAATGCCGCAACCCTTTAATACAGTTCCTCATGTTGTGGTGACCCCCAATTTCATTGTTACAATTTGAACATAAGTAAAGCATAGTGATTAATTACAAAACAATATGTAATTATATGTATTTTCCGAGACCGAAGATGGCGGCATAGGTTAACTTCGGAGATTGCTGCCTTGAACAACCAATTCAAATTAAGCCTGAAGCAGGGAACGGACAACATCCAGAACCACAGGAGGGCTGGCTGAGTGGAAATTCTACAACTAGGAGTAAAGAGAATATCATATCCAGACTCAGAGGAGGCGCAGTGCTGAAGTGAAAT